ATTATCTTTCCCTAAAGATAAAGAATTTATTTCGATGTTTGTATTCGTACAATCAGTAGAGATCGTTAGATTATTGTTTAAGGTTGACGGACACGCATGTCTTAATTAGTTTTTTTTTTTTTATTTTTTACGAATTGGTCAAACCCAAACTCAAACAAAAACATTGTTTTCAATCGTTATGAAAATCCCGATTGAATAGAATTTTATTATCAATAATTGTCTTGTAATTGAAATTTTTAAAGCATTCTGAATGTTAAAAATAAAGAAAAAAGTGTGCAAGAGAATAAGAAACACTACCTGCCAAAAAAAAAAAAAAAAAAGTGAAGTTTTGTTTTATCGGCTGAAAAATATAGGAAATCCGCTCCCATATTTAAAGGAACCCACACACACAAACAACCCGATGTGAGTTGTCCCCCTTCCATTTTCACGATGTCTCTTAATCGTGTTTTCAAATTGATTTTATGCAAAAAAAATTATATTTTTCCCATTTTTGGCACTGTTAGAACCACCACAAGGTAATTTTATGTAGTCCTGTGAAGTTTTGTTGAAATCGGTTGAAAAATGTAGGAAATCCGATCCAATATATAAACGTTACAGACACACACAAACACACACAATCTGCGTTTTATAATAAGATTATTGTGATATAAACAAGGAAAATAAGAAAGAAAAGAAAAAAGGTTTCCAGAACTCACCTGCACTCCTGTAATTTCTAAGTCAACCTCCTCTTTTTTTTAGCAGTAGAGACAGAGATAAAAAAAGAAAGCCTAATAAATTCCCTGCTCACGCTGTCTTCAGTTTCTTCTACTTTTACAATAACCTGTTAGTAGAAAGTTTATGTCACTCATTTTTTCCCTTTCTTCTCCCCCACCCTTCTTTCACATGTGTCCTTGCGATCTTATTGATCACCTTTAAGCAACATAGCCATGCATTCACAGTGGTGGACAACTGCTCTCTGATCTTTACATGGGCTCATTTTAGGCTTCCTTCTTTTGCCCCTCAAAGTACTTATCATCATATGATCAACTGACCACACACATCTAAAATATGCTGAACAATCTCATCCACCGAAACACTATTCTGTCACCAACTCCTCTCCCATTACTATCTATGAGCCCCAGGCAGTTTTACCTTGGGATAGCTAATAGTTGCTCCCACTTGTATCTGAAGATTGCTTTCTGTGGAATCAACTCCCTATCTTGTCCTACTTGGGGAGATATAACAGTAAACAGCCTCAAGTGGCAAAATACTCTTCCTTTCAGCCAATTGTTTTTTATTGTCCTGTGGTACCATTCTACATTCCTCTTTTTGCTAGGTTGGTATGTAACCTTAAAATACTTCCTCACTTTTCACCAATCCAGAACTTCCCTCTCCACTTCTGATCTAAATGCAGTGTTGTTAAGCATTAGGAATTCCTCAACCAGACTTCTCTCAAAAACTATTAAATCAATAAAGCTGCAATCGCTATTCCAGTTTTGCCCTTTTCTACCTGGCAAATAGCCACTCTCCCTGATCCACAATCAAGTATTAGCAGGTACATCCCGTCCTGATAGTGAATAACATCAACAGCTAATCTCTCCCAATTGCCCTTAATCTTGATTTCACCAACTTTATGCACACTCAATGCAATGACTGTTAACATTCTCTCACTACTTTTTGTACAGCCTCCTTGGAAAAAAAGGTGTTTACTTTTCTTGCAAAGAGCTGTGTTTTTTATGCACCCATATGCTATATTTCATGTAATGTCTTCCAAATGTTGTCTTCTGCACCACACATAGGCTTTTTGTGGGGAAAATTGTGAAAACAGCTTACCTTAGAAATGCCCACAAATCTGTGCATTGTGCAAAATCTAGCTTTTCAACAGTAAAAAGAAACAAAATGGTGGTGCCCATGTTTTATGCCAGGCGGTCTCGGACAGTTAACACGAAATCTCGTCATTCGCATGCAAATTATGGTCGGTCCTTGGCTGTATAAAGCAAGTGTGTTTTTTTCTGGTCACTTTTTTTTTTGCTCATGAGAAGGTTGGACATGTGACACTATTTTGCCATTTCTACTTTGTTGGACTTTTACGACGGGCTGTCATTTGAACTGCAATTTGGCTACAAGTGTTGTGGTCAAGAAACAGAAGAGATCTATTGCAGTTGCTACTATCAGTTGACAGTCTTTTCTTTACTACAACAAGCTATTTTGGCAATGGACAAGTTCAATCTAAAATTGATCCCAGAATTCGATGGCTCCCCCACGGGCACGACTGTCGTCGAATGGTTTGAGAAGGCCAAACATGTTTGCAGGGTGTCCAAAATAAAAGAACCTGCCCTGGTCATCCCACTAAGACTCACGAGGGGAGCCTACACCGTATATCGACTTGGTGATGATGTTGACCTAGAGGAGATCAAGAGTGCCCTATATATGGCCTTTGGAATAGACCCCTTCATCACTTGGAAACAGTTCGTTGGACGACGGCTCAAGCCGGGTGAGATGGTGGATGTCTAGCTGGTCGATTTGCGAAGGCTGGCGGAGCAACGGACCGCATACCAGGATGTGCCTTCCTGGCAGGATTTCCCGACAACACCAGTGTCTTCAAGATTGGATACACTGGGAATCAACAAATTGCTAGCCAGGGCCCGAAACATCTTGAAAGACATGGAACAGGTCGCGGCAACCGTGAGAACACCCGAGACACTGCGGGAGGGCCCAAAGTGCTACAAGTGCGGTGGACCAAACCATTTCTCTAGAGACTGCCAGAGCTGAAGTGACATAGGAGGTGGGAGTAGCTGACGGTCACAAGCACGACTATGCTGCTATCGCTGCAACGAATTAGGCCATGCAGCACAGGATTGCCCGGGAAACAAGTCCAGGGACAAGGTGCTGTCACAACCCTTGCCCCCTCTCAGTCATTATATGTGGCATTACCTGTTGTCGTTGTGAGGGTTGAGGGTAAACAGTGCTCAGCACGGATTGATGCGTGACATGGAGCAGTCAACAAATTGAGATTCAGGCTGTTTTTGGTGTCGGGACTGTGTCAATCCTCACAGTTGGAGGGGATCATGCCAAGGTTGACGTTTTGGTGGCTCGTCGGAGGCCTCTTGGTTATGACCTGCTACTTGGGACTGATGCTATCCAAGCGTTAGGAGGCATGATAATCACGCCAGCTGGAGATGTGGAACTGGGTAAAGGAAGGAAGGAAGGTGTGTGCAGCCCTTTGCATTAGTGAGCTGGATTTCGACGTCTTCAATTCTGATGAGAGGGTGTGGACAGCCAGGTGGAAATGGGCCCAAAAGACCCACCAGTTCAGCTTCACAACAAGGTCGCAGAGTTCAGAGTGCCCGATGGCATCAGAGGAAAATACGAGAAAGAGCTTCAACAGTGGATTGTGAATGGCTGGTTGATTCCATCCTGTATGTTTGGTACATGGTATCCTAAGCATCCATCTATAGAACCACATTTCTGTTGCCTCAAGTCTCTTCTTCATCTTTGAACAGATTGTCCAGCTTTCATTGCCATATAAGAGGATTGATATCACTTAACAGTTCTGTATTTTTTCTTCATTTCTAACAAATTTTTTCTTTCATAATACTTGGCTAAGTTTTTGGAATGCATCTTTGGCTATCCCAATGTGCCTTTAGATTTTAGTGTCACGTTTTCCATCCTCTGTTAAAACACTTCCTAGATATTTAAATTTTTATTCTTTTTGGATTTTGACATCTCTAATTTGTAATTTATATGTTGGGCTCATCCTCTTACTAACAACCATGCATTCTGTCTTCTTGCAGTTGATGTCCAGTTTTTTATTTTTGCTTTCCTTCACTACCTTCTATCTTCTGTAGGAGTTTTGAGGTTTCCTTTTGTCATCTGCAAATCTTATGTTATTAGATTGTGGATGCCAATAATGAATCCAGATAGAATTTCTAATTCTCTCAGAATTTCCTAACAGTATAAGTTGAATAAGTCTCGTAAGAAGACACATCCTTGTCCTACACCCCTTTATACTTTAGCATATTTATTGAACTCATTTTTTATCAGTGTGGAGGCAGTTTGCTGTTAGTATATGTATTGATTATTCTAATATCCTTCTCATATATGTCAGTGTTACTAAGCAGTTCTTTGTGATGTACTTTATAAAATTCCTTCACATAATCTATAAAACCTAGATACACATCCTTCTGCATTTGTATTGCTCTTTCTGATATCATTCTGAACATAAATATCACATTTCTTGTCCCAGTGTCTTTAACAAACTTCCACTGTTCTTATCCTATTTTTGGTCTGTTTCTGCTGTGAAACAAAATTTAGATGACAAGGTTTGTTATATGGTTGATTATCTGATGAATTATACATTTGTTTGCATCCGACTTCTTAGGTCTTCTGCTATATTACCACTGTTCTAGATTTTATTTATTATGTTTGTAATCTTGTCTATGCTGAAATCATTTAAGGCTGCAAGCATCTATTCTGTCTGGTTCAGCCACTTCGTTTTTGTTCAATTCAATGCCATTCACCATAGAGACAGCCCAGAATTTCTAACCATGCTGATTTACCAATGAATTCACCTATAAAAATATAAGCTTGTTGATTCCTTAATGAATTAATCTACACTTGTTTTCTCTTTTAGATGTACTGTCTGTATAGAATTTTAATTTATGCATATGTACATATATATATATATATATATATATATTATTATAATTCTTGTTTATAATATTAGTCCTTCTCCACTAGCTGCATTTAATGGAATTTGCTTTCTAACTGGTCAGCCTCTTTGTGCTGATTGAGGAGTCTTTAAAGTTTGGGTTTCTACATTTTAAGAATGGGAGGCAGCTAAGTGAGAGAGAGAGAGAGAGAGAGAGAGAGAGTGAGTAAGAAAAAATGAAGAAGACTCCAACTTGATCTGTAATATCTTTTTGTTCTTATTCCATGTTTATAAATTTCTATAAAAGGCACAAACATAAATTTAGGAATTAAATTACATATTTTGTTGTTTTTTTTTGTATTATTTTTAGAAAAGAATTGTCAATGAAGCTGTTCATGAAGATGAAATAGGAAATATCCATACTGCTGTTAGACTCTACAGTGATGCCCTTGAACATTTTGTTGCTGCCATCCGTTGTAAGCATTGATAAAATTACTTTCCAGCATTAAATACATAAAATCTTCAATATCCACCTCATTTATTACTTGATTAAAAAAAAGTATTAAAATTTATATACATATATATTTGAGACTTGATTATTTTTATATTGCACCTTTATAAAATGTTCAAAGTTTTGGTATTAGATTTTCTATTTCACTTTTGAAAAAATAGTAAAGTTATTTTCAAATAAGTTTGTCCACAGACTTGAAATATTAAATCATTTTGTAAAAAATCTGAAAATATTAAATAATAATTTTGTAAAAATCTGGAGATACTAAGTAAAAATTTTAAAAAAATATATTTTGGATAGGTTAAGTAATAATTTTTTTTTGTAATTGAAAATATTAATCCTTTTCACATTTTTTTGACAATTACTTTCTTACACTGGTTTTAATCATTAAAATTTTAATTCTGCAGAGCTTTGTTATCCAGATCACTTCAAATCATATTGTCTTACTTCTCTTCAAATGTTTTACTATTACCTTTGTAAAGGAAAAAAATCTTAATAAATTACTATTTTATGATTCTTAGAATTTCATTTGAAGCTATTTAGGTTTTTAGCAATAACCCCATATATATGCTGTTAATCTATAAATTTATTGAACTAGTCACTATTACTAATTACAACAGAATCTATAACTTCAAAATTAGAATATGTTATATAACTAAGTAATTTTAAAAAATATCTGGTTGGAAGGAAAGTTCTTGCAGTTCATAGAAAACAAGGACCTTCCCTTCAACTAGATATAAAATTTTTTATGAGAGTTACTGTCAAGATTTATATAAATAGTAATTTAATTGGTACAATAGTTTCCTATAAAAACTATATGCAAGAAAAGTTAATCTCATATATATATATATATATATATATATATATATATATATATATATATATATATATAGAATAAATCCTAAAGAGCCTGGAACAACCTACCTAGGTTTCACCTAAATGGATCTTCAGGGTAAGCTAACTAAAGAGGAAATGACATGAAACAGTATTTATTGATAAAACCACTAAAGACTAAAGACTAATTAGCATAAAACCTCATGACAGAAGAAGACAGAGGAAAAAAAACAGAGCCTCTATACTAATAACCAGGATTTCCTATGCCTACATCTATTTAAAATTTCAGATCTTTGATTTAATAAATTATTAGGTTCATTGAAGGTGGTTATTACTAATTTTTCCTCCAAACATAAGCAATACCTATCCCCTGCTTTATATTTATGGCATTTTATTAGTATTTCCCATTTTAATATGGGAACAGCACCATCTTCCTGTTTCATATTCCATATGTATGTAGACAGGCTAGTGCTATGTTTGTAGTTTTCATGCTTAAAGCTACTTAAATGATTGTAGTAACACTTTTTGAAATTACCTTGAGTGGATCCTATGTAAAATTTAATGTTTTTATTACTACTATTAGGTTTATTTCTGTGTATTTCAACTTTATAAACCACACATTCCTGTTGGCAACTGGTTTTTCCAACTGAGTATTACTAGTAGTTTAATATATATATATATATATATATATACATATATATATGAAAAAAATATAGTTTTAAGGTACACTATATTTATGGGATAAAGTGCTCGATATCAGAGATAGAGCAAATGTAAATACAAATTTCATGATAAACACAATCATCAGGCCTGATTGCGTTTAGCATGAAACAGTCTGTTATCTCTGAGTGTTGACTTCAATACATTTTGTTGTATAGTTTAGACTTGTTCTGTCTATTTATTTTCAATAAGATCCTTTCATACTTGCAGGTAAACTTTTTTGGTGTAATTATTGAAGTCTGAGAGAAAATCACTGTTGATACATATTTCTTTTATTTCCAAGTACTTTCGACATATCTATGCCATCATCAGGGCATTATTTATTACAAAATAAATATTGTAATATTCATTATTGTCAGAGACAAATTGTTGTGTTATCTGAAAGTTAAATTGAAATTGAGATGCTATATCAAAGCATCGAAAATCTCCAGGATGAACAACTAATTACAACCACACCAGAATTTGATGTTTTATGGCTGAGGCAGTAAAGGATAGACACAACAGAAGTAAAAACTTTAAAAAAATCTTCAGAAAACAACTACAAATTGCCGCTAAGTAACTGTAATCACCCAGGCATAATTGTCAAAAAAGCAGACAAAATTAACATCATTGTTTTCTTAAACAATTTGGACTACAATGAAAAACTTAAAAAAATACTCAATGACCACACAAAATTCAAAAAAATTAACAGAAATCCAACCGATCAACTAAAATTAAAAATTAACAAACCTATCACTGCTAATAATGCTGAACAGGACAGTTTAAAAATTCCAAAAATTGTTGGTGATTATATGCCTGGTTACATATATGGCACTTTAAAAACACACAAACAAAACTACCTTTTCCACCCTATTGCAAATTCCCACTTCTGTGTATCAATTAACAAAAATCATCAACTAATAACACCATATCTTCCTAGCAAATACAGCATAAAATCAACTATCAAGGTAATTCAAATTCTAAAAATTGAAAAACCTAACAATGAAACTATAGCCTCACTTGATATTGAAAACTTATTCACTAATGTCCATGTTTGCGAAACTATCAATATTATTATAAGAAACATATACAATAATCCATCTATACTGCCACTTAAAATTAGGCCTAGTATATTATGAAAACTACTGCTAACTTGCACTACCAAAGTCCCATTCTATGATCAGAAAAATAACATATATAGACAACGGGATGGTGTCTCCTTGAGTTCAGTTCTTGGTCCAACTTTTAGCAATTTCTATATGTCTAATCTGGAAAATAACGTTTTTAAAACCTTCCATCTACCTAAGATATGTCGACAATATCCTTATATTAGTCAAGAATATGGAAGAAATACATAAGCCCCCAAATCAGTTCCAGGACAAGTCTATCCTTAAGTTTTCATATGATCTTAATAATAGTAATAAAATTCCTTTTCTATACTGATAAATACTAATAACAATAAATTCACTATCTCCCCCATATAAAAAAACCTACCAGCATAAATTCCTGTACTCTTAATTATAAGAGTGAATGTCCAAATTACTATAAAATAGTAATTATAAAAAACCTAATAAACTGTGCAAAAATTAATTCATCCACAAAACAGATTTTCTACAGTGAACTAAAAAATATAAAACTCATCAATAATAACTTCGCTATCTATATTGTTGATGTACAAATAAGATGCTTCATCAGAGATCTTTATACTAACCAAATAGAATATAATACTTCTTCAACTAACCCCAAACATATCAATCTTTTATATCATAACCAAATACATTCTAATTATAAACAAGATGAAAATATCCTAAAAAATTTATTAAAAACTAATATATTCACTACAATATTTGTAATAAACTAATATATTCACTACAATATTTGTAATAAACAATACCCTGATGATGACATGGATATGTCGAAAGTACTTGGAAATAAAAGAAATATGTATCAACACAGCAATTTTCTCTTGTCCTTCAATAATGACACCAAAAAGCTTATCTATAAAGAAGAACATGTCTAAACTATACAAGGAAACATGTCTAAATGAAAACATGCTGCTAATACACACACACAGACACACACACACATATATATATATAAATCTTATATATAAAGTACAGTGTATGTGTGTGTGTGTGTCCAAGCAACTCCTCCGCTTTCACTGGTCCAATTTCAATGATTCATAGATCATTTAAAAGCCCTAGAAAAGTTAAGCACAGGGAACAATTTTTGTTGGGCTCAGATTCAAGGTTGCTAGATTATGCGAGGTTAAAAATATATATTGATATATTATACTAGCCATTATTATTGTTTTCATGTTTCAAGGGGAGTAACTCATATTTTCCTTTTATATTCAAAATTGCAGCTAGCTAGCTTAAAATTTAAAGCAACCATAAATGCCTCCCTATCAGGCAGCATTTAAGCTAGCTCCTATGGAGGACTCTTGGTTTGGCCATCATAGCTAGGGAGGAGTAGATGCGATAGGCATCAATAAACTACAGAAGAACTCAAAATTGATCGCTGCATTTAAGTATTGAATTGATGTTTAAGCTTACCTTTTAAAAGTTCAATGATAATTCTTCTGCTGCCACTTAATTTAAAGGCTATTTGCTGTATGGAGATCCTTATTTTACATACAAACAATTATTTTTATTTCATGGGTGACATATTATAAGATAAAATTAATATAGTGTAAAGATGGGAAAATAGAAATTAGTTATACATTCAACATTTGAAGAGTTAGAGAAAAATAATAGCTAATTAAGTAAAACCTATATTATGGAATCTATATGAATAAGTGCAAAATTAGAGCTCAATTCTCCCACAAATTCTGTGATTAAAAAACCCCAGCTCTTCTTTATAGTAATTTGTATTTACTCACAACCCACAAGGTCATTTTGTGACACAAGGTCAGTTTAACATGGGGAGCCACAGCATATACACCTGGCTAGGAACAAAAATTGCCCAAGCCCCGCAACCATCAGTTGCACTGGTCTCAATGTGAGCACCAATCCCTCTCTCTGGTGCAATAAGAGGGCACGGCCTTGGGCATCTGTTCCCCAGGGCTGGGCACCTCTCAGCAAGTCTGTCCTTTGATGGAGTCGCCCCTGAATACACTCTGCCTAAAGACAAAGACACAACTGAGAGATGATAAATAATGTGTTACAAACTACTCAAGAGAGTAATTTTACTCAACACCTCATGGGGTCAGGTTGTGACACACAGTCAGTTTAATGTGGGGAGCCTGAGGGCATACACCTGGCTAATAACAAAATTGCCTGAGGCCCCGCATCCGTTAGTTGTACTGGCCTCAGTGCATGCACCGATCCCTCTCTCTAGTGAAAAGAGAGGGCACTGCCTTGGGCAGCTATTCCATACAGCTGGGCACCTCTCAGTATAATTTTCCTCAGTTGCGACTCTGTCCTTTGACAG